TAAATGGAAAAGAGGTCAACTGTAAAATCGTTGACAAGTCTTTTTCCTGCTCGATTTACACAACTGGCAATATAAATTATGAGGGAGTAATAAAATATTTATGTAGACGTCTAATGGGCTATCTGTTCGTCTGTGTATTCTCGATGGCGCTGGTCAATATTCCGATTACGTGGACGGCGCTTTCGAGAAACCGTAAAACAGCCGTTGATCGATATATTGATCTAAGAAGGCCTAAACGCATTTCTTTGTATTCTCGTACGGCTGAATTTGGACTATTCAGATTAGTCATCCATTCTTTATTCTTCTAATTTAGTTGATTACAATAAACATGAAATCAAGTTTAAAAGTGATTATATACAATGTGTTATTTCTTAAGTTTTTCTATCTATTTTACTTTTTACATTTTACTTTATTTCTTTCTCACACACTTTTTCTGTTTCCATCTCTCTCATTTACTTACCCTTTCCCTTATCTTTATACTCTCTCAATCGTACTTTTTCTCTCTCCCGACCTCTAAGTCTTTCGACATCTCTCTCTTTATCCAGCCTCCCTTTTACGCTCTTTCTTTTTCTCACTCACTGTCTCTCTTTCAATCCCTTACCCCCCCTCTCTCTCTCTCTCTCTCTCATTGTAGGAGAGGTCGTTGCTGAACTAAATTTAAGGTTTTTTTTAAAAATAACTTTTTTCTCTTTTATCTCTATCTCTATCTCTCTCTCTCTCTCTATCTCTCTCTCTCTCTATCTCTCTCTCTCTCTATCTATCTATCTATCTATCTATCTCTCTATCTATCTATCTATCTATCTATCTCACTTGCGTAATAAATTAAAAGAATTTTATACAATTGGAGCGTTTATAATGTACATAGATAACCTTTTTTTTATCGTTCAGTGTATAGATATTTGACGTTACATTTTCTTGTCTATGACGTCCGTATTCTATAATGAAAATTCCGTGAGGATGATAGTAATCCGACTCTAATTACCCCGACGATACCTGCTTGTAAATTACAACCGGTTGAACAGGTGGTGAAAATCGATTTTGAAGTGCCTGTCGGGACGGAAAATTTTTGAATTTTTTAAAATATGTTAGATGTACGTGGTTTATATCGTTTGCACTCGAATTGGAGTGCCTCGCTTAATACGCGCATCGCATAAATTCTTTCTTGACCAGGACGACTTCTTTTCTCATTTTTGTCTATTGCCGACGTGTAAGTAATAATTATTAAATATTTGCCCTAGGACTCTGTAAATATTCTATGACACGTTTACAGGACAAACGAGCAGGCGGTAAATAAATGTATTTCTTTTTGACTCCGTTTCGAAGCAGTCTTTAATGGCCCCATTGTTCTTGAAATCCAAGCGGAGTATAATATGCAAATTGAATCCAATTAATATTTACATTGTCGTTTACATGGTTCGGGTGTCATTTTGAACCCATTGGGCCGATAGAAAATCAAAGCTTAGAAAGTTTTCCTAGCGTGGAAAAAATTCAGAGGTTAACGCATAATAATAACATAATAGTACATAATAGGACGTTAAGAAATATTTTTCAACAAATCTCCTGTAGTGATCAAGAATTTTGTAGGAAACATATCTTCTATTTAAATTAAGACATTATATATAATTTACAGTGTTTATATAACGCTTAAATACGTTATCTTTTTCTAGAAATTAATTGGTTACTGAAATAACACGATAGTTAACGATTTGACTTAATCTATAAGGCAAACAGTCTCGTTTTTTATTATTTGGACAACGCGACTGGTCGGAGTTTCCTTGTTCCAAATTAAAATTACAAAATTAACACAAGACTATCGATGAGGAAGAGAATTTCGATCGTGATTTAAAAATCTGGTGCAATTTCAATTCCAATTTTAGCCTGAGTTCGTTATATAAAGTGACTTGAAATAATCTTTCATTGAGTAAAGCTCACGTTAGGAATTATTGCTTGATCGGATAGGTCATCGGTACAAGGACTTAACGGTACAAACTTAATAGTTCAATCGAACTTTCTTCCTTACTTTATTTGTCAATTATTTTATTAGACGTAAGCCTTTACCCATTGGCGTATTTGTATAATTATTCATCGCTATTATGGTGGTTAAAAGTATTTTAGTGTTGGATGACTACAAATGAAAGTAGGGCCTGCAAAAAAAGAACATTTGTATGACCATCAATTATAGATTTTTCCCGCCAAATTAAACATTTTTAATTTTAAATTGACTTTTTTCATTTTTAATTAACGTTTTTTAAATTTCATATTTTTTAAATTTTAATTTAACCCTTTTAAACTTCAAATTAGTCCTTTTAAACTTCAAATTAGCCCTTATTAACTTCAAATTAGCCCTTATTAACTTCAAATTAGCCCTTATTAACTTCAAATTAGCCCTTATTAACTTCAAATTAGCCTTTATTATTTCAAATTAACCATTTTTAACTTAAAATAAACACTTTTTAATTTAAAGACAACCTTTTCTTTAAAGCATTAAAAGAACTTAGGATGTAATATGAAATATCTACAAGCATACAATGTAAAATTCCTGTGTATTTGAGATATTTTATATTAAAATAATTGGGCTCTTAGATCATATGAAAATTACAAATTCATTAAATATAAAAATAAGGGGTTTTCGTTTAATTTGGGATTTTGTTGTATAAAAATTATAAAACATTAGAAAATTGTTTACAATTAGAATTAAGAGTTAAATAAAATTGGATATAAAAACAGTGGATACTTCTTTTAATTTGAAATTTTTTTAAAAGTATTAACTCGGATCTTATCTAAAATACCACATGAAAATATTTTACAATTAAAATTAAAAGTTTAAAATAGCATATATAAACAAATGGTCCTTCTATTAACTTGAGATTTGTTAATTATAAAATGATTATTTTGTAAACCAATTATTTTATATTTAATAAAAATCTTGAATTAATAGTAAAATCACGTGTTTTAATATTTAATTTTACACCACTGGATATTAAATTAAAAGAAAAATTCTTTATTTTTATACTTAATTTTATACCAATTTTAGTTTTATTTAATTTTTAAATAAAATAAATTTAAATAATTTAATATAAATTTAATAAATAAATTTAATGTTGCTTCTGAAAACCTAATTATTTTATATTTGTTAAACATTTCTCCTATATATCGGAATTGTACGTTACATTTCATACCGTTCCCCTTTTTTTTAACTCCAAAGAAAGGGTTAATTTGAAGTAAAAAAAGGTTCGTTTTTTTTTAAACTACAAACATGCAGTTGTTAATGCATTTCGGGCCACGCTCCTAGTCCCTCTTCAGAGCTCACTATTTAACTAAATGGAACTAGCCACCACTTTTACCACCAAATTAAATTAAAATTAATAAAAAAATAAAATTTGAATTAAAAAAGGTTAATTTGTAGTAACAAAAGAATAATTTGAAAATAAAAAGGTTAATTTCAAAGTAAAAAAGATTATTTTGAGAGTAAAAAAAGGTTTATTTGAAATTTACAAAAAGTTAGTTTGAAGGAAAAAGCTATATATATCTAATGTCAAACTTTAATCAAACTTTTTTTTAAAGGGTATTAAATTTACAGCAGCTCCTTTTGAGCCCTTTTTAACGTAATGGATGTTGAAATATCAATTTATTTCTGCTTTGTAAAGAAAAACTTATTTTATTTAAGCTAGTTTGTGAATCGAAGGAGACTTTACACAAGAGAGAAATTTATGGTCAGTTTGTTTGTGTCTCCGATCTTTCTGCTAATTCTCGCTGGTATTGTCTTTCATCAATCACTGCTAGATTGATAGAAAGTAGGAATTTTAGAGGTGGATGGCATCAAATTAAAGTAGGGTCTGCAAAAAGATCACATTTGTGTGACCATCAATTATATGAAAGGTCGTCGAACTGGGGAAAAAGATAGAAGCGATCCAGTGTTTGATTGTTGTCAATTAAACTGTAATAAGAAATTATTAAAAAGGGTATACAATTTATTATTTATTTTATAGCAGTCCTTTTTGAACTATTTTAATGCTGTTTTATTTCTTCACAAATTGTAAAGAAAAAATTCCATTTAATTTAAGATAGTATGCGAATTAAAGAAAATACACATAAATTTTCTGTTTATATGATTAATTTATGATGATTTTGTTTAGGTTTGTGTGTTGTTGTAATTGTTCGTTTTGACGTTTTGATCCGTCTGCTAATTCTCGCTGGTATTGCCTTTAATAAGCGTTTCATCATTTCGCCAATTTCATTTAGGTAGACAGGGTAATAAGCAGTGTGATGACATGGACAACTTTCCTATTCATTGTTCGCTGACTTGACACAGGCGAAATTCTCAAAAATGGAAATTGTATCTTGCCTCACACTGCTTACAACCTTGACCAAGGAAGGTGGCGAAATAAGGAAGAAAAAGGATCGGAGACGATTGACAAAGAAAAATCGATTATTTTAAAAATGTACTCGGGATTCAATTTATCTCCAGGAATGGGACTTGTGCAACAGAATCCATTATTAACGCCCAGTGGAAGGACAATTGTAGGAATCACGGACTCCTGTCTCCAATTAAAAAATGGACAAAATTGGTATCGGCCACGCTGGGCGTCACTTTTAAACTCTTTTATTCTAGAGTCAACTCATTTTCTTTGCTTCTAATATCGATTATTAACCTAAATAAGTACCCACAGGGGTACTTGCAAACATCACGGTTAGATTTAGCTGCTGCTATCAGGCTATAAATACTTCAACGTGAATAACATTGCTGAATTTTGTCAAAAGAATGCTGTTTACGAGAAAAAAATCGAGATGGCAAACATTTATATAAGAAAATTTGAGCGTACCATTGAACGTTTGCGTAATTTGCTTGCCGATGGTTTAGCATTGTTTAGCGGTATTTGAGAAAATACACGACTCTTTTATCTAATTGTAATGAGATGTTAGGTCAAAAGATAATAACCCGTTTGATAAGAGGTTTACGTAATAATACAAACTATCTCAAGAAATTTTGTCGTGGTCTGTCTTGTCAGTCGGCCGAGAAAAGTCGACCGATTGACACCTCAGAGCAGTGCACTTGATGACCCTGGTAATAGTTCATCGTTCTTTTGGATAAGATATATATATTGGTGTAAGTTCCATCAGTTATTTTTTACACGTTTAATCCGAAAATTTTTTAAAAATATAATTCTCGAATGACGACTTTACACAGTATGCATAAAGGCAGCAGACTTTACGCCTCAATGGAGTTGAATTGATTGAATCAGAATTGATATTATTTATATAAAAATGTAGCACATTTAAGTAGAAAATGAGTTATTTTGTGGGGTAACCGCATCTTTAATTATAGATAAAACATACGCAATCTTTAATTATAGACACAATAAAAAATCAAATATTTGTTGACACATATGGAACAATAAAATTTGATATATTTGCCGATATTAAATAACCAAAATGTACAGTATTTTTCAAGATTACCACTTGTTTTGGAAATACATTTTTTCCTTGTATATCTCGGTATTGTCAAATAAAAATGGTTTATCAGGAGCAAATTACACATAAAGGCCTCCACTCGTGCATCGTCTCGGAAAAGCTTTTTTAGGGCGTTTTGAATATGCAGAATATGCTCAAAGAGGTGAAAATCACAGGGCGATAGGTCAGCGCAATAAAAAGTTGACACCCTGTATATATTATTTATCAATTTTTGCATTTTTACTTATTCGATTACACACACGTTCTCTCTCTCTCCCTCTCTCTCACTCACTCTCTCTCTTTCTCGTCTCTTTACTTTGTGGATCGTGTTGCTTATTAAATTGCAGAGTAACATCTTCGTTTAATAAACTTCCATTTTTAAGCTATTGCGTTTTATCAACGCACCTTGTCCCGCTGAAGATATCTCACGTGTGGCCGTGGTTGATAAGCGAAATAGAAATTTTTGTTGTTTTTTGCATCATACTTTTCTTCCTTCAAAACTTCAACCAAAACGGCTATCAGTTATATAATGGGTACTAACAATTTATTACCTCACAATAATTTCATAGTGAATAGCACAAGTCGTCGTACTGAACATATTTTAATTTTAATGCCAAATGTTATTGAGAGAAATTTTGGGACACTGTTGTTTTGTAACGTAAAATAAAATTTTAAACGCTATTTATGAATATTAATAAAATAAAAGCCCAAGAAAAAAACAAGCAAAATGCGATTTTAGAACCTCAGGCCCGTTTATTTTGTGTCGAAAAGTCTCTCCGAAAATTGCAAGCCCACCACTGAGCAAAGACCACTGTTGGACAAATCCAATAGATTTTCTGTCACCACTCTTCCTGGAGATATGTTCTGACATAATAAATGAACACAGAACACATTTTTATTTTATATTACTGTCCGAAATTTATTTATTTTTTTGTAATCCACAATTCTTCATTTAACTCTCACGTGATAATCTGTACAGAGACAGTGTTTCGTAACGGAGAGTTTTGGCCTAGATAAACAGGCCGCAAAGGTTTTCCGTTTCCATTGGCGTAGCATTTGCAATTTTTTCTCATACGGATATAAAATGACGTAGGAGGGTCATAGGTTGTGTACAAATTGTACTATCGAATTGATCTGACGATATTTTATTCGTTATATCAATTTACATGGTGTTTTCCTACGTAATTTGTGATATTGGACTAAAACCTAATAAGCACATATCATTTCTCTTTGTTTTAATGGACAAATAGTTCATTGTTTATCTTATCAACTTTTGGTATCGAATGCACAAATTTTGAAAAATAAATAAGATTGAATTTAGAAATAAAAATGAATTAGAAAACAATATTGCTTATCGCTTAAGTTGTATTGAACAAAAGTTCGATGTCAATGTGACTGTCAATGTCTAATTACCCACATTTAATAAATTTACAATAAATTTATGATACAATTAACGTATAAAATCATGCAAAATATAACTTTAAATTATAATAATTAAAAATATTTGATAAAACTAACCGTTGGGGTCGCGCACGAAGGAACAGAACCCCAGACAATACTTTTTTCATTATGATCTATGGTCATGCCAGGATCCGAACCCAAAACATCTATAGAATAACAGGGTAATTTTTAATAGAAAGGAAGATCATTGGATCATATAATTAAAATATGAGGATGAAATGACCGAACGATAGAAACAACATACTCGCTCTCTCTCATTCTCTTTTTTATTTTTTCTCGTTCTTTCTCTCTCGCCCACTCTCCCTCCCTCTATCTCTCTATTCTGATTCTTTCTTACTCTCTCTCTTTCCCACCCATTTCACTCTCTTTTTTACTCATCTCGCTCTCTTTTTCTTTCTTTCTATAGCTTCTTTTTTTCTCTCTCTTTCTTTCTTCCTCTTAACACCCTGACACACTCACTTTTTCTCCTCTCTTTTTTCTTTTCTTTTTTTATCTCTCTCTCTCTCTCTCTCTCTCTCTCTCTCTCTCACTCACTCACTCACTGTTTCTTAACGTCGTTCTTTCTCTCTTCCTTTCTGTCTGTTTTTTTGTCTCTCCTTTTTCTTTCATATCCCTCCTTCCCTCCACCCACTCTCTCTCTTCCCGTATCTAACTTTCTGAACATCAGTTTTCCAACTGAAATCACCTCGAATGCATTTTGTTAAGATCAAATCAAATCACATTTTTATTGCTTTAAAATTTTACAATTCTTTCCATAGGGAAGGGTGCATATTTTACAATTAGCATATAATACATATAATTATAATAGAGTAATAGTTTTATAAGTATATTATTTCCAACCTTGTCTCTCAATCAACTTTTCGATATTACCTCTTTTACGAATAACTTGATAGATGAAATTTTAAAAAAGGTAGAGGAAATCTTGCATAAAGCAATCTCTATTTAGTTCCAGTCACCATTCTAGTCTTAACTCGTCTTAGCTTCAGTACTTTTGCCGTTAGTTTTGTGATGATCCTATACATTGAACCGAGGATTTACTTTTAACCAATTGTCTGATCGAGTTTGACTCCAATCGTCAATAGTTTAGATATTGGCAGTACAGTTTGCAACTTGGTCCACCCTCTGTTTTAAAGAGGAGTTAAAAGTTAAAAATAGTCATAGTCATATTACTCAGGCTGGGACGAATAAACATCTGGCATCACCTCGCAAATCTGAAAAATCCCCTGGTAAATTAATCCTTAACATAAATTAGCGTTTTTCGACAGAAAATGGAATATTGTAACTTATTTGCATACTTTGTTGCTCAAAAGGTAAGAAAATACAAACTGTACTCAATGATAAATCTTTGACTAGAAGAAAGTTCTTTGACATCACTGGGCGACTTTTTACCCTATCTGACACCTCGTCTCAAAGGTGTTCTAAAGGGTTTAAGGCACGACTACATGCTGGCAACTCCAAGCATTGAATTGAAGACCGTTTCAAGAAGTCACCAACGACTGCTGTGTGTGTGTGGCCTAGCATTGTCTTGCATAAAAATAAAACCATCAGCAATTAGTGGCATATAAGAAACAACTTCTTCTGATAAAACATCTTTAAAGTATATACCATTGATGAAGATCAAGTTTGTGAGACCTCCCATAGAAATACCTACCCAAACCAAAAACTCCACCATCTCCTTAGCTCTCCGGAGTGAAAATGTTGCGGGGATATATCGCTCTCCAGATCAATTGATGTTATTTCTTTCAAATCTTAACCGAGCTGTTCTGTGCCTTGTCTGGACAAGTGGCAGGTCTTCTCGCACGTATTCAGCTTCTAAAATTCTTCGCCTTGCAATGCATAAACGCTCATTAATATTTCTAACTTGTTGAAGTAGTTGCTTGATCTCAACAGCGATAGAATGTCGATTACTGAGCATATTGAAACAATAAAACCATCATCTCTCTGAGATGTGAGACGATGGCGACCTGATCCATGCCTTCTTGAATAACCTCCAGTACCTTGCTAGCGACTAAAGACCCTTCGGACAGGTGTTCTGGGAATGTTAAGCACCCTGGCTTGACTTCTTCCATCTTCCAACAATGTTACGATTCTAGCCGAATCTGTCTCCTTTAAAACTAGCAGTCAAACAAATTTCAACAAGAAATCAAACCATCAGAACGTTTGAAAGAAGCTTTAGAGAAAAACCAACAAAGAAGAGATTGACTATTCAAAGATTTATTTACAAAATCCAATTGTAAACACAAGTGGGAGATTTTATCTGTGGTTTATTTATCTTTAATCCTTTAAAACGAACCAAATATTGTTATAAGATAATCAGTGGAGGATTGTCTAAGAGGTAATTTAAAATGTTAAGGGGGGCCTTTGTTTTTGCCTCTCAGTACAGCATAATTATAAGGATGTGACAAATTATATTTTTGGACTTATTTTGTTTTTAATCTTATATTATCATGGCAGTTTATTGAATGGATATTTTTATTATAGAATATAATATCAACTAAAATAGTTAACAAAAATGACAAATTATTATTGAACAAATGTGAAAATTCCTTTTAACTTCAAATTAATTAAATTTTGGTTTTAACTTCAAATCTTCTTAAAATTTGGTCAAAATATCCACAAAACAATTAATTAAGATTTTTAGTTGAGATGAAAAAAAGTTAATGGCACGAGCGGAATTCGAACCCACGATCTTCGGCTAGATACGCCGCTGCTCTATCACTTGAGCTATCGTGACCTCGATCCACATGGCCATCAACTTCCTATCTCAACCCCACCTTATGAGTTTTCCCTCCTTTTTGCCATTTTTCAAATGTCGTGTAATCGGTTTGAAAAATGGCAAAAAGGAGGGAGAACTCATAAGGTGGGGTTGAGATAGGAAGTTGATGTCCGAGTGGATCGAGGTCACGATAGCTCAAGTGATAGAGCAGCGGCGTATCTAGCCGAAGATCGTGGGTTCGAATCCCGCTCGTGCCATTAACTTTTTTCATCTCAACTAAAAACCTTAATTAATTGTAATGATTTAATTGGTCAAGCGGACCACGAAATTAGGGAATTATCCACAAAACCTTTATAAAACTAAGGAAATATCAAAAGTCGAAAAAAAAGATACTTTTCAAATGTTTTTTAGATTTTGGTGTGGAAATAACCATTTGGAATGACCAAAATTGATTATGACAATCTAAATTTAGTTAACAATTAATATTGTCTAATAAAAGATTCGGTCCGATGTAATGAAATAATCACTTCCATTGAACCGCACAGACATCATTTCACGGTGAATGATCACTTTCAAGATTCCAACTTCATGAAACAACCGTTATAAGAGTACTGACACAGACCTTGTGAAATTATAAAGATTTTTTTTTCTTGATCGCTAAGAAAAAAAGAATTGAATGGTTGATTGCGGATAGTTCTACGACCGAAAGAAAAACATAGTTTGCGTTCCATTAAAAGCAGATAAATCGCACATTTCCTTCTGGTGATTTTTTTAATTTCAGCCGATAAGAGTTACTGTACATATCACTCATAAAACTAGTATGATACATATGTAGTAAGTAATGATAGATGAGCAAATGCGAGACCTTCTTCGTCGCCCTGGGGATCCTCTTAACCCAGGTAAATCGCGTGAATTACGTCCTGTTTAAGGTTGGATTGAAAAGATAACTGTGTTGACTATTAAAAAAAATATATTTAAAAAAACATATTCGTGTAATACGAAGGGCCTTGGAGGATGCAAGAGCAAGTTTTAAGATAATCGCTGAATGATTGTTATTGGATTATACATACATCTTTAAAAAAGACAAACTTGCTCTTAATTTGGTTTTATTGCTTTATTTATGATCGTTTTGAATGTGGTTTTTACCCTGCTCTTATTTTTAAAAATTCATTCCTAAATAATTAGTTGAAAATAATGCTCTGGCTGTTGGTCTTTACCCACAACTTTTCAAACAAAATGACATTATTTTAAACAATACGAAGAAACTCTAAATTTGCGAGGACTACGAATTTGCAAGTTTTTCTTTTGGGAAATATTGATAGTTTTCGGTTCTAATAATTAAAATATTGTTATGTTTAAAAAAAAATGTTGCCTTGAAAATTTTTTCGGGAAATGTTTATTAATAAAGTGCTTTAAATAATCTATTTGTTGAACGGCAGTTGAACGTTAAGACATCCTGTATGAAAGGATTTACTTGAATTTTACTTTTAATCTATTTATTTAAGAAGAAATGTCATTTACAGGTAGGTTATTCAAATAGACACTCGTAGTATAGTGAATGCGTGATTTTTACTCTATATAATAATGTTTTATTGGCATGAATCAAAGAAACGCCTTGCCAGCCTCCCAGCCGTAGGTTGTACATACATAATTTTAGTGTTGTTGGAGGGGTGGAGCCTTAACAGTATATCAGGAATTCTTGAGTTTCGCCACACGACTAGGTTATCGTCTTAATAGAATATATATATAAATTGGCTTTATACATATTCATCAAGTGTATAAGAATTCGACAGCGTTATTGTTTAGATCGTTTTTCGATTCGACCTTTTGTTAAAATTTTACGATTTTTTGAAGATTAAAAATTGTTTCATCAATTTTTGCCCCGTTAGCTACATATTAACCCGGATAACGGACGTTTTACTGTATTAGATCGTTGCTGCGATTCTTTTTCCCGGGTTCCATACATTGAGCGGTTGCTTCGTATTCGAATATGTGAGTGGTAGTTACTTTCTCATTGCATAATCTAAACCATGAGGTCATCAATAATATACGCATGTTTCATAGGTGTTTTGTTCTAATACGCCAGTGACGGTACACAGCCCTATCACTCCCATTAGTTTTATCTGTCTAACTGCATCAATATGTTTGCCGGTTTTCATGAGGGATCTTTAATGAGTTTACCTCGCACCTCTGGAGTTCGCCCACTTCTCTCTCTTAGGGATGTATGGAAAACAAATACTTTCTTTTCTGTCCTGGTATCCAAGATCTAATTTTTTCAACCTATATTAGCATTTCCTAACTTCTCCTTGTATACAGAATGGATTTAACTATAATTATACAAATTACCTCCTGAATATATTTTTTTTTATTGGGACTTTTTTGGTAAAAACCTTGAGATGCGTAAACTTTCGTTTATTGTATAGTCTCATGATCTAACTCTCCAGAATAATGCGATACGAATAGGGGCTTAACTATTTCAAATGGCAAAATTATCATCAATGTAGATTTTTGAAAGGGTTTTTTGTCTCAGAAATCAACGTTAATTTTAATTTGGTACAACTAAGTGAAAAAACTATTTCCAAACATTGTTTTTCTGAAATCTCGTTTTTCAAAGCTTTGAAAAGTCACAATGATACATTTGTTTAAAAAAATAAATAACACTGCATGAACCACCAGTCGTTTTTTTATTATAAGGTGGTTCGGATACTTCAGTATTTTCAGGAATTTTTCCAAAACCTCGTAGTACTGATGCCCCCATACACTGAGTTCTATAACTGACGACTGTCCTATATACAAGGGGACTTGTTTGTCTTGCATGTTCATTATATTATTATTACATATTTTATGAAACTGTGCCATGTGCAAGTATGAATCGTACGAGTTTACACGCATTATGTAATTTTAACATAAATTGAATGTTTACCCTTAAATAATGTGCAATTATTATGAAGAATATGCAGTTGGTTATACGGAGCATACAAAATATACTAAAAACGTGAAAACAAATACTAAATGTATAGCATGTAACTTTTTTCAAAAATAATTGAAACGATGTCATATTTCATGAATTGTTTCTCCCTTGGTAATGCTAGGTAATGTTTTTCCAAATAAACGCCTACCCAAGGTTGAATTTTACACTATTCAGCTACTAACAATTGCAATTCATGACACCTTGTAATAACATGGTCATTATAATATCTCTGTTTTCTCCATAAAATTTGCATTGAAAACACGTTCTTTTTTGTGTTTCGCAGGGTTCAATCCTCTCTGAAAGCAGGCTAGAAGACAACAGACCAATTTAAAGAATTTCTACGTCATAAACGGCAAAATATGGTACGTAGTCAACCATTTCCATTATTCATATTTTGACAATTTCTCACTCTAAATCATTTACTGAACGCGGCATTCAAATCATTTCCTCCAATAATTGAAGTTTCAATTTGAATATTCCGCAGAGGAATTGGGCTTTTACGATTTGGAAATAACGGTCATCTGCCTCTACTTTTTGTCAAAAATTGATATAATTTGTTTCCTTTTGCTTAATTTCAGACTTCTAACGGGACGGTAAATATGACCGAGCTGGAGACCTTCCTCCCGCAGGACGGATCCAACTTGAAGGACGGTGGAAAGTAAGTAAAAAAATATATTTCAGTGTAGAAATAAAAAGGATTTAGAACATAGAATTATAAATCTCAATCAAATAAGATAAAAGCCACAGTGCTAGAATTATGTTTTGTAGTAAAATAACAGTTAAAATACTTATTGTGTATTTGGCCTTTTCTGATCATTTTCGTTTTATTATTNCTCTCTCTCTCCCTCTCCCTCCCTCCCTCCCTCCCTCCCTCCCTCACTCACTCTCTGAAAATTAAAATTGTTCGTTTTTTAGTATTTTTATTTCGCCGTTCTAATTACTCAAATCAACTATGTGAATAATTATTTTAAAGCATTTTTTTAAATGTAGATTGCAATAAAAATATAGTAAAAGCCAATATCATTTTAAAGCATTTTTAATATACATTGCAATAAAAATATAGTAAAAGCTATCAAAGTTAATGAATAACCAAAAAATTTCTATTATAAAAACCAAATATTTTTCAAGTAAACTAGGTCATAACATTTTTTTCGTAAAACTAATATTATATTTCATTTTACCACCTCTAGTGACTCCTACTATAAATTTTTGTTTGAATTTAAATGTATAGATTTTTCGATAGCGAATTTTTTTCAGATTTTTAAGAAAATCTTCTCGGAATATCTGGTTGAAACAGCTATAATTCAAAAACTGCTAAAAAGATTTTAACGTCAAGCATACCATTTAAAAACAGACAAATGTAGCTTTTAACGACGTTTGTGTCATAAAAATATATAAAAGATGTCTATAATAAAATACATAAAACAAGAAAATATTTTTGTCAGAAATTAACCTCATTTTTTATGTAGGAATAATAATCCGATCGACAGTTCGATACAGTTGTAAAATGCATTTGACAATTCCTTTAAAAACAATTATCAACCATGAAAACGGGTCCATTAGATTTAGAGAAAAATGATAGAACTTGCACTAGGAAGGTCAGTCGTCGTAAATAACTCCCAAAAAATTTCTCATAACACACACCGATTTCCGCGAAGTAGGTATCTAAGGGTTGTATAACGCTAGAATCAAGACAATGAGGTCAAATCCGAGTTTTGACCATTTTTTGACCTACTTTGTTTACAGAATGTTCGTTAAATTATTCGAAACAAACACGATATCAAGCGTTAAAATTGGACTATATTTCCATTTAAAAATGAGGTTAATTTCTGACAAAAATATTTTCTTATATTATGTATTTTTATATATATAGCATACGTCATTAAAAAGCTAAGTTTCTCTTCTTTCAAATGGCATGTTTGACATTAAAATCTTTTTAGCCGTTTTAATCAGATATTCCGAAAACGACTTCGTAAAAATAGGAAAAATCAGTAAATTTAAATAAAGACACAAATCTATATTTAGGAGTCTCTAGAGGTACTAAAACGAAATTTCATATTGGTTACACGAAAAAAAATATGACCTAGTTTACTTGAAAAATATAAAAAAATTAATAGCATTTACTATATTTTTATTGCAATCTGCATACAACCTGCCGTAAAACGAAATATTCACGTAGCTGATTTTAGTAAGTAGAACGGCGAAATAAAATTATTTTAAAAAATTCAACTTTCAAACACTTTTGGCGAAACCAGGGCGTATTCACAAGTGGCGGATATGTGTCCGATATTTTGGAGTGTAGAATCACCAAAAACAGTTTGGTTAAATCTGTGACACACCAACCTGGCCGTCCCCTTAAGTTATAAATTAATTAATTAAGTTATAAAGTAATTGTTAAAAATCAAGATCATAAAGAAAGGAACAGATTGTAAGGTTCAAAATTGGACTTTTGGTAGACCTTTCGGTCCGACAATTCGTGCTCCAGGTTACATCAAGACCCTCTTTACATTATTCAGACCGCCCGGAAATGGTTTTAGCCTGAAGGAGCAAGGTCTGGAAATGCGGTGGGTCAGGGGAGGCTTTCCCTTCGCAGCCTGCAAACGACTAAAAAAACAAAAAAAAATGGCAGGCAATTTTTATTGGTTTCAACAGTTAAACGGCAGTACAAGCCGACCTTGGCCCAGCCATTGTACCGTGTATTTCATTTGTATTTCAATTTCATTTGTACCGTTCAGCGGTGTATGCACGTCTATGCACACTTTATATTTCCATGATGAAAAGCGACATTTTACCATGCGAACCGATCTTAAATCACCATTTATCCCATGAAATGTCTAATTTTTAATAACGATATATCAACAGTTCATTAAGTTTTTATATATTTGTATTGTTCCCATGTAATTATTAGGGTATTGTACACTCTCAAGGCATGAGAAGACTTAACTTTAAAGGCCTAACCCGTTTCCAAGAACTACCGTCTCATTACAGCAAATATTTCAAAAAGGCCTTTTGCTATATCATGAAATTATAGCTTATATTGGGTAGATAGTAACAAATACACACAAAAAAAACCATAAGATGTGTTATTTAAGTAGTTTTATAAAAAGCTTTCAAAAGGATAGGAATAACGCCGAAGCTATGAACTATAACTTGAGTTATTAGAAAAACAACAATTTCAAAGTTTGTTTTTGTCCTTCCCCACAAGATAAATGCCTACACAAATAAGACAGAAATATCAATTGAAGACACTGGCAAAGGTCGTAGAAGTCGAAAATTGTGACAGTTTTTTAGGGGAAACAAAGTTACTTGACTTTATAAAACAACTCCTAGAAAACGCCGGAATAAATTTTGAATTAATCAGTGTACCGCAAGGACAAAATGTACGCCCTAATATATACAATTATACATAAAGGAATTCTTAAGTAAATTAATATTCCCATTATGTTTTATCAATGAACAAAACGGATGTTATCCTTAATACAAAGGACTTAATCATGTGCGAAGCATCCTGATATTTTTTTCCCAGGAAAAGCGACATATTTACAAACTACAAGGCGAGTTGTGTAAATGAGAGGATCATTATTGACCATCATTGATTAATTTTTTAAATTTGTAAAAAATTACTAAACGATACTTTTTGAGGCTGATAGCGTTTTGAAGCGTGGCTGCTACATGTCCGGTACGTTTTAATCGATTTGGCCGTTGATCCTAACAAATAAAAAACAAAAAAAAGCATCCCAAAGGCCGACGTCTCCTCTGATAAGTGTTTCACGACAGTGATTACAAAAATCGGCAATATATTTAAACACTTTGAGAATGATCAGGACAGAAATTAAACAAAATCCCCGTTTGGACCTTTTTCCAATTTTGTCGGCACGACATTTAAAAATAAAAAAGTAAAATTAAATAGAACGCTCATATTAAAAAATAAAAACATTTAGGAATGCTACCCAACATGACACTTGACTACTGCAGCGAGAATCTGGGGTCCTCTTTTCCGATTCTAGAAGGAAGCAGAGTTGTTTTTATTGTTTATATCACTGATAGCTTTGTGCTCGTAGCGTGTGTTGAGAGTGAATGTATTTATTAGCGTGAATGTGTAATGTGGGAGGGCCGATGGCAGACTATTGAGACCTCATTGACCCTTAATTAGATTAGTTATATAATAAGTGTAGAGTGATGGGGATCAAGTCACCAACCTAAACTAAGTGAATGCCATGTAAATAGAAAATAAGTATTTAAGAGTGAGTAAAAGTTTGAATGGGAGACTGATTAAGTTAGGGGCAGAAATGACCTAGTTGTTGATAGACCCTGGAGCCCAACCTCGATGACTAGATGGATAAGACGTCTGACCCCAGACTGCCAACAACACGCGAGTGAGTCTTGAGGTCTGCCGGTTATAGCAATGTGCAGATTTGAGCTTATATAAATGAGTAATCATTAACAAACTTAATTGTCCTGGGAGGCTTAACGCAAAATATCTCAACGAAATCTTGTTGGTTATTCTTGTTTTGGACTGTCAGACATGTTTTCGGCATTTTGTTAGACTTGTTGCAAATAAACAGTGATGATCAAGCTATATGTTCATCACCTCTTACACCTGAACAAAATACATTTCCCACAATTAAAACACACACACGCTCACAAAAGTTCATCTAAGTGACCATTTATGTTGAATTTTCCCATTATTAAATACTCAAAATCATATAAAGTATAACAGATTACTTAACAGCAAGTGCATTAAATATTGAAAAAGACAAAATGAAATAAAAAACCTAAAAGTTGCAGGATTTGTGCCTTACTGAATGTAACAACCAATAAACCACCAACCAGTGTGTATAAACCTTTAAACCTTCATGTATTTACATGTTATTTAGATATCTTATTTATTGAACGAATTTATTTATTTGCATGAATGCTCATCTCCCAATTCACAGAAATATCTAGTTATTCTGGGGTAGTGTGAATAAATGTGTGAAGGTAATTTATTAGAGTGAATGAAGGGGCTTTCCCCAATTACCCTGAGGAATATCAAGTTCCTGAGGTAGTGTGAATGCTAACATCAGACATCAGACTATCATGTTGTTATCTTGTTTCTGGGAATCTGTGTTTATTATTTGTGTTATTTTTTCAACAATTGACAAGGCCTTGAGGAATAGAGATTCTGGCAATAGGAAAAGAGAGCTTAGCTTTAAAAAAAGAGAGAGTTGGTTACTGTTATATTATAAAACATTATAACTTGACTGGAGAATCAGTAAAAGAAATTAGTAGGTTTAAAACATGAGAAAGATAAAAATCGAAATTCAAAGCTAAGGAAGAGAAGGCTGACGATTACCAATGTAGGTTGCCAACCCAAAAACTTAAATAATAAAAATAATTTGTCGCTATTTCTCTCAATATGTTTTCTCCTGTTTCCAGGTACAAAATTAACATTGTTTCAAAGGAGGGAAATCATTTAAATAATCATGATGCCAAAGCTGCTTACTGGGATCCATTCAAAGAAAGAAAAGTTGAGCATCCAACAACGTGAGTGTTTTTAGAAATTAAAAGACACTTATTTGCTCCTTATTTGTCATTTTATTTCTCTTAAAGTAAGATGATCAAATCAATAATGCAAACATAGTGGGCCACTTGTTGCCAAATTGATTTTTTGTCTACTATTTCACCACAATTGGGCTCCCTCATCATCGATGCTTTATTAAAATTATTTTTCATCTTAATTTGTCCTCCTAATTGCACTTTTCTCGTTCACTATTTGTTTCAATATTCACAAATATTTTGTGTTTAAACCTGTTTTTCCTTGTTTTTCAGTGATTGTGACACTCTTACACATTTGCTCAAAGCTTCGTTAGGCACAGGAATTCTAGCGATGCCGTACGCTTTCAAAAATGCAGGGATGTCGTTAGCGATAATCTTGACAGTTGTTGTCGCCATAATCTGTACACACTGTGCCTACATTCTGGTATGTTGTTCTCAGTCTGAATATCAGTCTGTGATAGTTAAGAGGTTTTTTTTAATTGCGTTCATTAAACGTTGTCCACTTGTAGGTCAAATGTGCCCACGAACTGTACAGACGGACTAGAGTGACTGCAATGAGTTTTCCTGATGTGGGCGAAGTGGCCTTTGCAAACGGACCTGCGTGGGGTAGGCGCTACTCCAAATTAGCTAGGTAAAGTAATAATAACCAAATTTTAAAAAAAAGAAGTACAAATGAAGTGTAAAATCTATTTTTAATTTTTTTTATTTTTATTATTATTTTTTTTAGAATGACAATCATTGCTGGATTGTTTACAGCATACTTTGGCACATGCAGTGTTTACACTGTCATAATTTCTGAAAATTTCAGACAGGTATGCTGAAAAATCTTGAAAGTATAAATATGGAGTATAAAGAAAAATATTATTGCTATATTGTATTTTTTCTAGGTGTATGACAACTATGCAACTGAGCCAATAAATCAAAGATTGTGCATAATCTCCCTTCTAATACCACTTATTTTGCTGACGTACATTCCAAACTTGAAATACCTTGCTCCCGTTTCCATGGTGGCTAATCTTTTTATGGCAGTCGGATTGGGAATAACATTCTATTATTTGGTCGTCCCAGGGACTTTAGGCTCCCCTTGGGATTTGCCTCAAGTAGGAGATTGGAAAAATTTACCTCAGTTTTTCTCAATTACAATATTTGCCATGGAAGCCATCGGAGTGGTAAGTTTCAGTCCCTTTTCATTATTATTATTTTTTATGACCCAAAATCTAAAAATTAGGTCATGCCTTTGGAAAATAACATGAAAACGCCTCAACATTTTATTGGAATTTGTGGAGTACTCAACAGAGGAATGGGAGGAGTGACCATGGTCTACATCTTGCTTGGCTTCTTGGGTTATTTGAAGTACCCTGATGACGTTGATGCCTCAATCACTCTTAGCCTTCCAAATGAAGAAATGTAAATCTGATTTTTGTTAACAACAATAAAATACATAATTAGCTTATATAAAAATTTGCGCATTTTAGACCTGCACAGGCTGTGAAGATTCTTGTTGCCTTAGCCGTATTTTGTACTTATGGTCTTCAGTATTTTGTTTGCCTTGAGATCGTCTGGGATGCCGTGAAAGATAAGAGCAAAATGAACAAAACCGTATATGAATATTTGGTCCGAACCATCCTTACTACAACTACTGGTATGTATCTTCCACTATTCATTCAATATATGTACACTATATTTTTTATGTAAAACTAATTTCAATTAAGGCTTTTTAAAAGTTTAACTTCTTACTCTTGTTTTGTGGCAACGTTCTTGGCCCAAGTCATCTTTTCATTGATGCAATTCTAATAGATAATGGCCTGTTATCACCATTGTGTGGTTGGTAGTAGGGGGTTGGTGTGCAGGGGCTGATAGTGTGATGATGAAAGATGGCTTTGGGAGTGGTTTTTCCTCTCTTATCAAAGGAGTCAGCCTGTGCAAACAAGATGTGCAGAAAATTACTACCCCGTGATACAACCTCATGGCTTGTCATTGAACGGCATATGGATGGTCAAGATGATAGTCAAGAAGGCCCAGGAGCTGGTCACAACTGATGGAGACCATCTTTCTGACCACTGTAGTGCGCCATGTAGTCGTAGAGACATTACCATTTGATCACACCCTCTTGAAATATACTTAAGAAAAGCTCTAAGGATGGCTGGAATCATGTTAGGAGAGTAGTACTGGATGACCAGTCTTAAATTCTTGCAACCAAGGACAAACTTTCTGTATTTCTTTTAAGTCCGAGCTAAGTTCTTGGTACTTAGCTTGAAGATTGAATTGAAGACTTGCTAGATTTTGCCTGCTCTGGGTTTCTCTGCAGACTTTTTTTGATAAAGCATTGGTTGTTTGTCTGTCTACAATTCTGAACACTTTAGGTGAGTTGAAAGTGAAAGGCAAACATGGCAATTAGGACTGGCACTTCACTAAGACTAAAAAGGAAAAAAATAAAAGAGAGATGGCGCATCATTGAGTTGAATTGGAAGTAACCTCTTGACGACTGTCATGGGTAAAGTTAGTTCTGAATTCTATTTCCACAATAGATCAAACATGACTGTCACACCAAACTTTTGAGAAAAAGCCAATGTAGCTCAGCATTCAATGGGAATGCATGTAGTTGAGTCTCTACTCAGATCCGTGATTGTTTATTAATTAGCACGCGTTAATTGCAAAGCTGTTCTTGTTGTCATTAGCAATTGAGACAAATTTGGGTAGGCAGCAAGAACGACTCTGGACTGTTTAGTATGAATAAATCCAACTTTTATGACCTTTTGTTTTTACATTATTTGGTTTTTTAAATGCAATTATTTTATTTTTAATTTTTTAAATACAATTTTTATTTCAGTTTTACTGGCAGTAGCAGTTCCAACAATTGGACCGTTCCTCGGACTTCTTGGAGCTTTTTGCTTTTCACTCCTTGGCCTTCTTATCCCAGCGGTTATTGAGATAGTCACATTTTGGGAAAAAGGTGTAGGACCTGGCAGGTGGATCCTTTGGAAAAACATCTTTGTTCTCATATTCGGACTACTGGCTCTTGTCTTTGGCTCTTACACGAGCATAGAAGAAATTGCAATGCTGTACTTAAAACCGGAACCTGTTTTAGCATCCGGTTTGAATGAAACTGTTGCAACTTTTGCAAACAGTACACATAATGCTATAGATTCAATGTTAGGATTAATCAACGCAACTCTTGCAGCCGTCAATAGCACATTAACCAATGTAACACAATCTTTGTAATTACCTCAAATCAATATGCAACAATATGTATAAAGCTATCATAGTGAAACATGTGATTGTTTGTCCAAAATTCTTGAGGCTTTGTTAACTTTTACACCGTGCCTTAGAAAAAGTAAATTGGCAATACATGAACAAAGACAAGATTTTTTTAAAACAAAAATTATTTTATAAGAAATTATGATTTTGGACTAATATTCCTAATACCACCCATTTGAAAAGAAAAAGACTAATAAATTATTTAAGTATTAATTGTTGAAATTTAAATGTAAACTTTTTTTTAGTTTTGCTGTTAATGCAAGTATTTCTACAAACGAATTTTTAAAAATGAATTAATTTTTATCCATTTTTTTGTTCAGTTTTATTTTTTCATTTGAATAAACTATTACTGAGTACTAAAATAAAGGAGGTATTATTTCTGGTAAATTTAAATAAAATAAGCTTACTTGTTTTTTTTTGTTTTTTTAATGGCTTTCATAGATAATAGATAAATATCAATGTGATAAATTATGGTTTCAATTCCTGATTTTCAATTTGTATATGAGAGATAAAAAAGATAATTATAGAATATTTAATTGAATTACTTTATTTAAGAACACAAGTGTTAATTTATTATTTGTACAGTTTAGATTCAAAGTTTCCATGATAGATTTTATAATTTCCTTCCAAAATTATTTAACATTCTATACTTATTTTCTCATTTGATGAGAGTGAAAGAGGATGGAGAAATATGTTAGGAATGATTTGTGTGAAAGGTCATATTTCATAAAATAATTATAACGTGATACATTATGTATTGTGATCTGTAAATAGCTGATCTGTATAAAATGTATTTTGTTAGCGAGACTATTGACACATGAATTTTTCTATGAAAAATTTGAGGTAATATACATAATAACAAATAATGAACAATTTTCCTTGAAAACATTCAAAAAATATAAACAATTGTTTATAGACTTAATGTTCCCTCCCTGTTACTTTTCTATTTCCAAGTTTTTGTTACTGATCAAGTGTTATTTGTATTCTTTTACAATAAAAAATTCCAGTCTTAGCCTGCTGAAAGAAAACAAAACAAAAGCCAATGTGTTTAATTTACTCCTTTGGTATACAAGTCTTTTGTTCTGTCTAATATATTCCTGGTACTGGCACAAACAATTTTTCTCAGTACCATCAGTTAGATCAACCAGAAATAAACAATAAGAAATTTATGGTGTAGTAAAGTTTAATTAATTGGGTGATGTTTGGTGATTCTAGGATTTTTTAGGGCCTCATCAGTTGTGGATAAAATAATACAAATAAAAAGAGAAACAAGATAAAAACATGGTAATTTGGTAAGCACTCACACTACCCCAGAGTGCTCAATGTTCCTTGAGGATAGTTCCTCAATTCACGCTAATAAATTACATTCACAAGCTTGTATGTTAGGATGACACCGAGACAGTCCTTACGTACCTCAATCCAATCCCATAAAAAACCACTTTTCTGAAACAGCAGTGTGCCCTCCTTTGCCGAAAACCAACACTGACTTAGTGAGATTTACTGATAATTTTCATAATTCACAATATAACTCAAAAATGGGATATCTTGCCACGACGTAAAATATGTAGAAGCTGTATTTTTTAAATTTATAATACCTAAATTAATAATAAATGCATACAGAAGTTTAATATAGCAAAATCAAATTATGAATTATAGAATTGTATTTTTTCTTCTTCTTCCTTGGGGTAATTGGGGTATAAACCCCTCCATTCATAATAATAATTGTATCCACACTACCCCAAGGTATTTTATAACCTCGGGGTAATTGGGGACGAAGCCCATTCTCCAATAATTACAAAATTTATTACAAATAAATATATGAATCATATAATATATACATATGCAAGCGTGTCTCTTCTGTTTTGGGCCCAACCCTGAATTCGGAGAACTGAAAACAAGGTCCCAGAGGTTTTCATATGATCGGACCTGACTACAATAATTTAATTTATAGATCAGGCACCTTTTTTTAATATGTTCCATTCAAATATTCAATTCAAACCAAAATAAATACGAGACCAAAATATTAATTAAATTTAAATCTCTTATTACAATTTATTTTCAAAAAAGATTACAATTTCTTTTATTAATTATTATTTTTAATTTAAAGAATCTTTTATTCTATAATAAAACCTATTTCAGAATCTACAAACATTAATTTTAAAATCGAATTTCATTCTCGTTTTATAAAGAAAAGTAAAAGTAAAGGAAATTATTATTATTGTTATTATTATTAATTTTTGACCACCAATTAGAAAATACAATTAATATTTTAACATAACTTTTAAAATCAAATGATCTCTTTTAGTTTTCTTTATAAAAAATATATTTTTTGTTACAACCCTTTTTTAAATTAAAATACAATTATTATTTTTAGTTTTTTTGACGTCAAAATATAAAATTTACTCACTTGAATTGTGTGCACACCAAATTTTTCTTTATTACAAATAACAGCTCTTAACCCATGGAGGACAGAAAGTGAATTTTTTTTTTTTGACTGAAAAAAATAGCACTTTCTTAGCCCCTACTCTGTATCTGTCAGATGTGTGTGGAGGGGCATGGCGGTACATTCAAATTGAAACGTGACACTTATATGTATATATATAAATTATACCCAAGGTTCTCTTTAGAAATGGAACAGGGGTCCAACATTCAACTCGCCTGTCCAAGTAGTGGCTCATGCCAACTTGCTCCCTGTAAGGGGCCAAGGCACGGTACTTTTCGATCAGCATACTGAGCAACCTTTCTCTACAAACCAATCACCTGCGCAGGTTTTGACCCAAAAGGAGGTGTTTGTATCAGACGAGTATAGCTGATCCTCAATCTTTATTAATCTTGCATAGTGGCAATAATCATAATGAATTTCTACTGAGATGCTATTATTGCTAATTAAAAAAACTTATTGTTGAAAAAATGAAAAGAAAGATCTTTAATTGCTTCCACATGTTCTTTGAGGAAGCCATAGCTTGACTCAACAAGAATAATTTTTTAAAAGTAGTAACTCACACCCCAACAAACATAACCCTTTCTGTACAAGTCTTAATTTTGTTTCTAAATACCTTAAAGCATTAATGTGAAAAACTGTAGAATAAGTTTAAGTTTCTCTGGATGATGATAAATTGGTAATTTGGTCATTACTGATCATCCTTATCTGACTATGCTAGATTTTTTGGTCTGTTCATCGCATTTCAGTATTTTCAAAAATTTCAGTGTGGTCCATTGCCATAATCTAAATTTTCTTTGATTTTTAGACTCTAGTTTTACTTTTACAATATGATTTCAGGCCCTCTTATCATTTTTAGGTTAACACATAGTTCTGTTTTGTTTTTGTTAACTTTAATTTTAACTTTTTGTACATAAAGAATACAACGAAGTAAGGATGAACAACCATCACGGTATCACCAGTAAGTTAGAGATCAGGGATGCGGTCATCAAACAAGCAAGTTTTATAACTTAGCTTTCAACCCTAACCCTAATCATTGTGACGAAGCCCTGATGACCTCAATAAAGATTGAAAGCTTGGCATAAGTTACAAAACTTACTTGCATGATGTCTGCATCCCTGATCTCTAACTTAATTGTCATCAATAATACACTTCAGTTGAGCAAAGAAGTAATCGACAAAAATAACATGTTACTTGTAGTGAGATATCGCATTCACTAATGTTCCTAATTAAATTTTTGACTTATTGGTCGGTAGTTTTCATGATTTATGCTTGTCTGTTTTTTGTTTTGAAGTCATCACAAGAATGGCGTGTTTCCATTGTTTAGGAAAATAAATCACTCGCAAAATTGTGTTGTAGATCTAGATAAAAAAACAAGGGATTCACTTTTTATAAAAAATTGGTTCTACTCACATATTTGTTGTTTACAACTACCGGATTTCCAGCTTAAATCTCATCATCAGGTTGAAAGGATTTACAAGCACTTCTCTCAACATTAATTATAAGATTTACCTGCTGATCCCAGCGAACACGACACTCCAATGAGAAGCTGGTTTGTATTGGCGTTCAATTTTAAACGTGCGAAAAACATGAATTTCAACAAAACTAAATATTACATTAATAAATACTGTAAGAAAATAATTTTAAATTGGTGATTAATTTGTATGTTTTTATTAATTAATTAAAATTAATAATAAAAAAGTTGCATCACATTTGTTATCGAGCTCATGCCCGCAACGTTTTTGCCGATATAAAAATGTGGAACTTAAAACACGTAATTAAATCATATTATTCAGAAATAGGGTTCTATTATTAATTATTAGGTTTGTTTGACTTTATTGACAAAGCGATGTATTTGCAGTATTATAAAATGTTATTCAATAAAAAATATGCATGTTATGGTGAAAAACAGTATTTATTTACATCACATTATTAGTATTTATACATTAAAGAGTTTATTTTTCAAGTGGTGCATAATTAAGAAGTTTCTCAATAAGATCAACATGTCCAAGCAGCATTCTCCTGCAACAGTATCTTTTCAGTCCAAGGGCATCAAGGGCATCACTGAAAAATCAAATATGACGTTATATTTTTCATTTTAATTGGAAAAATAAATCTAGTATATACCCTTCAGTATATTCTGCCTGAAGAAGTCCGAGATATGATTCCCACTTGTTGCCAATCACTTTACCACATGTAAAGCATCTAACTGGAATAATCATCTCTTAAATCTGAAAACATTAAATACAAATTAAATCCATTATATTTAGTGGTCTGATTGACCAAATTACTTCTTTCGATTAATTAATTTACATTTTTATGTAAGGTTTTGGTTGAAATGAAAAAAGCTAGTGTCACAAACAGGATTCGAACCCACCAAAAGTCGTAAAAATGTTAATTAAATATAAATTTTAATGAATAATTTTGACCTAAATATATATATACGGTGAAAAACAGCCCCAGAATATTAGAAGTCACAGATTGTAAAAATAGAATGAAATGTAATTTAAAAGCAACCTCACTAAAAATTTTCTGGTAAAAGCTTGGCATGTTGCTTGATTCACTTTTTATATTTTACAAAATTTACACAAGTGAATGAAATACTCACCCCTTCTCAATTATTCCTATTATGCTCAAGGTTGTAAAGATCGATTGATTGCACTTAAGTCAAATTTTCTATTGAGACCCTTGATTTAGCAACTAACACAATGTTGTAACCAAGGGGCTTGGATTGCCCTATGACACGAATCTTCCCACCTGACCAAGCAGAGGGTCCAGCGAGGCCTAGCTGTTCCCACCTGGAGACTGGACAGTCCAGGCCCAATCCGCTACTAATCATCATGAGAGGTGTACTAATTAGTTAAATATACCTTACCTTATTATCTTATTCTGTTATTTTCTATTTTCCTTGTTTAACTATTTTTCTTGCTGTTACACGAACCTTACCTTGCCTTAGCAGCATTAAACCTTAAGCATTAATTCTTATCTTTTATGACTTAAACGAAGCCTTTTTATATTTTCTCATTTCTCGTTTCTTTGGTCTATGCCTGGTGGGCAAGTTTGGTAAAATTAATTTAGTTTTCTTTTTAAAGTTATTCCTTAGTCTCGGTATATAATCGAGAATTAATTGTGTCGTGTTGAGAGCATTAGTGAAATATTAGACGACACACAACAATAACATATCCATACAAAAAACACATTTTGAGTGAGTATAAATACTTTAATTAAACCTAAAATTTCTATATTGTGTACATCTATGTATAAATTCATTTTCGCATCTTAATTGTATAATTTAAACAATGTTTATAAATTCCAGGCCCTGAAGATGATCTCAATAAAGATCGAAATGTTGGCACGAAAAAGAAATTGTTTTTCTAAACCTACAACACACCAAACTGCATCTCACGATCTCCAAATAATCATTTACGAACTGACACTAAACACCACACATTTCTACACTAGACGAACGAAGAACATGGGATTCTGTCAACAGATTTCAACTAAATATGGACACCAAGCAAAGAGTATTCTGAAGGACTTAGCCAGCAATGAAAAGAAACTTGTATCGGCTATCAATCAGAGAACCTTTTTGTTGAAATGCAGGCAATACAAGGCCCTGAACCTCAATAAAGAAAATGGTTTTGTAAACCTACATTACTCCAAATTGCATCTCACAATTTCTAAATCTAAAAAATAAATAAATAAAAAAAAAAAAAAACCTGAACATGCCGCTTTAACTTTGATTTTTATTTATGTTTTTTAACTACGTATCCAGATCTCTCAATTCAGAGATCTTAATTAATGATTCTTATGATATCTAAATAATAATTTATAATAACAACTAATGATCATAGAGTGTAAACATGGATCATATCTGGTATTTATTTTTTGATTTTATTTTTTTTCATATTCAATTATATTCTCATAAATATTGCTTACATCCATCCTGTCTATTTGTATATTAGAGTTGTTTTTGTTTAATTTTATGTATAACTTTTTTTTAAACGTTCGTCTGCTTGGCACTGTTTCCTTGTCAATATTGAATTGGTAGGTGTTTTGATTCATGGATATGATGTGATAACCCAATACCTTGTCTACTTTGATTTTTGGAATCTAGTTTGTTGTCCTATTTGGGCATCCACTCTTTGTAGCATTTCTCCTATATATTGCACTTTCCAGTCAAATGAAACCTAACGCCAAATAGTAATAATTATGTAGAGGAATAAATTAATAACACTTTAGTACTAACAATAATTTTATGATAGTTAAATATTAATATTCTCATCATCAGGTGACCAGGTCATTTCATGTGGGTCGTGCAACGACGTTTGGCCCTGTGAATTCCTAACAGAATTATGTACAAAACTTGACGAAACGTCCCTACAATAATCATTTTTAATAATGGACACCATTGTGATTCTTAGCAGATGTAATTGCTGAAGTAGAATCCTTCTCACACACAATAAAATTCTTACCCCATAATCACCGATGTTAAACCCTGTTGAACATGCCTTTTCAAAAATTAAAACAAGTGCGAGAAAGATTAGACCGACATTGCAAGTGAACTTGCAGAGATCTTCAGCTGCAGTGTCAACTCAGTGTTACAAGTACTGACTGCACAATTACACTTTGGAGTTAATGTTAAAACTACCGGCAGCTGTTGCAGGAAGATCTCTACATTAATCTTCATATTGGAATTATAACATTTAAATGTATAAATTATTAACATTTTAATTACTTTTGCCTTTTTATAAAATGCCCACATTTTTGGTTTTCATTTGCTTGAAGTAAGGTTTTATCTGCTTGAAAAAAAGTTTCATTTGCTTGGAAAAAGATTTTATTTGCTTGAGAAAAAAGTTTCAACTGTTTGAAAAAACGTTTCATTTGACTGGAAAATGCTATTTTTTCTCAATTTTTGCAATTTATCTTGTAGATTACATGTGCTTAGTTTTCCACCTTTTCTTAAATTTTCACGTTTGAGTGTAATTGTGATATTTTGTTACAATATTTATGAATCAGAATTTTCGGAGCAAATGTACTAAATATCATATGGTGAAGTTCATTGATATTTTTATATTTATGACTTCACATTCCACAACCCGTTTAAGTTTTTATTCATAATTATTCAGAAATCATGAGATGCGGTCTGGTGTGACATAGGTTTAAAAAAAAACATTTTTCTTTATCGTGCCAACATTTCGATCTTTATTGAGATCATTTTCAGGGCTCAAAGTGTATGTGTTTGTGGAGTGGGCATGAAACACAAGAATGACACGATTACGCAGAAAACATACACCTGAAGATTATCTCAATAAAGACCAAAACGTTGACACGATAAACGTTTTTCTAAAACCTATGTCACACCAGACTGCATCTCATGATCTCAGAATAATCATTAACTAACCATCACTGAACTCACACATTTTTATTCATAGATATTCCGATTTTTGATAGCACTATTTTGTGTTCCCCCGATAATATCCAGACATTCCATAAGTCCACTCCACAACCCAGCAATGCCACTGTTTAGACGTAATCAATTCTCTTGTGTTCAAACATGCTCGGGTGCTTTTCTTGATGTGGCTCAAGTATCAATAATCAAGGAATTAGAGGTAACAGTGCATTGGCAGAAAATAAATGTAGTAGAATCGTTAATAAATTGTGTTTTTATATTAAGCCGCAATTTACTTACAACTGGAATAAACGGGGGTCAAAATGGGAAGTTTGTGGCACGGACGATCGACTTCACGATAGCTCAAGTGGTAGAATAGCTGCGTATTTAGCCGAAAGTCGTGGGTTCGAATCCCGCCTATGTCACGACTTTTTCATTTCAAAAAAATTGTGTATAATTAATTGAGAAATAAAATTTACTCACCCAAAATATACTATAATTGTTGATCTTCTAAGAAATAAAAACCATCAAATAGTTTCGGTGAAACCTCCTTCGTTTGTTAGAAAACAGAAGCACGTTTGTCGTTCGTTTTCGGTCGATCCGCTTATGGCAGGACGGTCTGTTATTGATTGTCCGGTTGCGCAGGCGTCGCCCTCTCGCGGCCGTCGGCTCAGTCTAATCACGGCAGCCCTCGGACTCGGACCCCGCGCCTTCCACCTCACGTCAGTCCAGTTCGAAAGCCGCCGCTGTCACCACGGTGCCATGCCAGCCTCGGCCCTCGTCCCCCTGTGATACGCCGCACGCGAATTTCCCCCTTGAGGGATTTTCAACGGATTGCCACAAGTTTTTCTCGAATTTGAATTCGAGGGATGGCGGACAAAGCGCAGAAGGGACACTGCAAGAAAAACAAGCATTCACAGTCCCAGGATGCGAGCGATGCTGAATCTGAATTATCGCCGGTAAGTTTTTTTTCTCCTCATTTGAACGATTTACCAGAAAAGACAACCGTGCCATTTTCAATATTTGTTAAAGCCAACAAAAGAGTCCATTCAACAACCAAAATATGATGGACAAAAATTTTACATAATATTGGAAACAAGAACGTCAGAAAAGTTACCAAACTTCTCAAAACCATACAATAATGGCGGATTTGTTAACACAGAAAGAAACTATATTTCCATATATTTTGCAAGACGGAAATCAATTTTATGAATGAATCAATACATTAATCTTCATTCCAGAGCCTGTTTGAAGTTTATTTCGAACAGGAAGTACTCTAGAAATATCAGGATGAAAACGCGAAGACTGGAGAATTATCACAATTCATAAGAAGTTACCTAGGATATACAGGTTGCAGGCCTGATACTAGTTTTATGGTAACTAAATCAAATCGATACGTACTTACATTCCGCACATTATACATTTATTATACTTAGGGTATATAGAAATCTTCATTCACAGCTGTTTGCAGTTTTTGTCCAAAAGGATTCTCGAAGTGTCTGCATTAAAACACTGAGATTGAATAATTATCATATATGATAAGAAAGCTAGTTAGGATATACATGTTGCAGGCCAGAAACAAGTTTTATGATAACTAAATCAAATCGATACATACATTCTATACATTTTTATACTTGGGGCATATAATAATCTTCATTCACAGCTGTTTGCTGTTTCTGTCCAAAAGTACTGTCGAAATGCCGGGATGAAAACGCGAAGAATGAAGAATTATGACAATTGATATCAAAGCTGCCTAGGATACACAGGTTGCAGGCCAGAAACAAGTTTTATGATTAATAAATCAAACTGATACATTCATTATACATGTGTTATACATGGCATACAATTTTATTGACAACTTGGCATAAATACTGCGTGCAAAGTATCCTCATGTGGGTGACAGGAATACCATAGACTTAAAATAAAGTTTTATGATAACTAAATCAAATCAATATATATATATATATATTCCATACATTATTGTATTCATACAGAAATCTACATTCACAGCTGTTTGTAGTTTTTGTCAAAAAGGACTCTCGAAATGTTTGGATTAAAACACGAAGATTGAAGAATTATTACAATTGATAAGAAAGCTACCTAGGATAAACAGGTTGCAGGCCAGAAACAAGTTTTATGATTAATAAATCATCCCTGACCATTAATATATCAAATCGATACATTCATACATTCCATACATTATACATTTATTGTACTTAGGGTATACAGAAAACTTTATCCCCAGCCTGTTTCAGGTTTTTTCTAACACGAAGTACTTTCAAAATGTCACGATGAAAGCCATGAAAAATGAAAAATTCTTACAATTGATAAGATACATTCATACTTACATTCCATACATTATAAATTTATTATATTTAGGACATACAGAAATCTTCATTCACAGCTGTTTGTAGTTTTTGTCCAAAAGGACTCGAAATGACAGGATTAAAACACAAAGATTGAAGAATTATCACAATAGATAAGAAAGCTGGGTAGGATATACATCTTGCAGACTAGAAAGAAGTTTTATGATTAATAAATCACCCCTAACAATTAATAAATTAAACCGATACATAGTACATTCTATACATTTATTATACTTAGGGTATATAGGAATCATCATTCACTGCTGTTTGCCGTTTTTGTCCAAAAGGACTATCGAAACTTCAGGATTAAAACGCGAAGGATGAAGAATTGTCACATTTGATAAGAAAGCTAGCTAGGATATACAGGTTGCAGGTCAGAAACTTAGCCATAGTTTTATGATAACTAAATCAAATCGATACGTACATACATATATTATAAATTTATTCACTCACTATTTATTTAAAACTTCATTCACAGTTTGGTGTAATTTTTGTCAGGATACGCAAGTTGCTAGGATGAAAACTATGCGCTTAGAATTCTTCGAATTGTTAAGAAAAATAATAAGTAAGTAATAACGAAGTATTCTCCTGTTGGTAGGATGAAAACAGTGTGCTAAGAATTTTAAAAATTGATAAGATAAGTAGGAAGTAACTACTTTCTTCACGAGAGAAATTAGTTTTATCGGTTAATAAATACATTCTACATTTATTACACTTTACGTAAACATTTGTTGATAGTTTGGTGTAGAATTTTTGTGGACGAATTATTCGCGTGTGGGTAAGATGAAAACCATGGACTTAGAATTCTTACAATTGATAAGAAAGATAGGAAAAAACACATTCCGTTAGCCAGAAACTAGTTTTGTTATTGAAGTACGGATAAATTCAACACTTATACATTGTATAATTTATGCATATGTATGTAAAACCTTTTGTTTTTATTGATGAAGAATAGGATGAAGAATTTTTACAATTGATGAGAAAGAAGGGATAAATTCTATTTTGCAAGACGAAAATTCTTTATTATTAATAAATCTTTACATAAATACAATACCTGCGTTATATATTTATTTATCTATTCTTATATGAGGAGATAGTGTTAGTAGGAAGAAAATCATGCACTTATAATTGATAAGAAAGGTAGGAAGGAACCACAATTTGCAGGATAAAATTAGTTTTCTGAGTAATCTATATATTAAAAAATTATACATATATAAAAAATTATATACGAGTAATTTTTTATAATTATAATATATATATAAAGTTTTTTTTTAATGATGAAGTATTATTGTGTTGATAGGATGAAGGCCATGTACCAAGAATTTTAATAAATGATAAGAAAGATAATGAGAAACTACATTTGGCATGAAATAAACAGGTTTTATTATTAATATGTCACTCAATACATACGGTTATTCCATAGATTTTATGTATATTACAATTTATGCAAATACATATATAAAAGTTTCAGATTAACATATTATATAATTATAAAAGAGCAAAACTATTGCGAGAGCATAAAGGTTGCAGATATATATTGTATTGAACAAAATTTCTCATTCCAGTTCAGCTTGTTTCCTAGTTAAATATCGATAGGAAAAATAGTTTTACGTATAAATCACCATATCTGGTAAAAAAAGCCTGTACATATACACACACACCCACGCACAAACCCTAAAAAAATATTGATCAATAAAACGTGGAGACTATTACAAAATATATGAATAAATTCAAGGCCTTTTAACGATAAAAACGTGGAAACAAGCTTGCCATATTTTGTTTTTCATGAAGTCAACGCATTAATTCGGTTTTTGGTAAAGTGTGATAATTTTTAAATCACCGAAGAAGAATTGATAAGATAACTGATTTTAGTACAGAATACTATAAACAAAGCAGTTTACAGAGAGATTCATATACTAATAAAATGTAAAAGATATTAACTACTAACTATAATTAAAAGAACATTTTCGTTTGTTGAATTAGAATACGTAATAAAAATATAATTCAACCCACAATAGTTCACCTTGTTTAAAGAATTCTGATTCAAGGATACAGGAAGAGCTGATGTGGTGAAAATTGTCAAATTTTATCGCATACAATTTAGTAGGTTCTCACCAAACTGGTCTAATTGTTTTAAAATAAAATGTTGCTATAATGATAACATATTATAAGTAAAAATGGCAAGAAAAACCCAAATCTGCCTAGACTCCTATAGAGTCCTTAAATTTAGCTATCTGTAGAGGATGTACGTTAAAGTATAAGTATAAACGAAGAGATTTGACAAGGATATTAGAAGGAGTCGGCAAATTAACAATTATTTAGGGAAAAAATTAAAGAAGAAGAGAACACACGCAAACACACACAGACACAAATATTTCACATATAAAGCAAAATTCGACATTGCACGAAGTTTTATCATTATTACGACACAGTATATTTGATGGGCACACAAGAGCTACTGTTTAGTAAGGAAATGCAGATTTTACTGACAGGGCATTTGTATGATAATGACATGGTAACAACAATTTTCATAATATTGAGAGAAGGTAGGCCAACTTGGTACAAAACACAAATTTTCTATTCTATAATTTTGGTAAAATTTGAAATATTGCTTTGAAAGGAATGGCCAACAATAAAAATTTAAATAAAGCTTCATAATATTATGTACATATATAGAATTGTTTTATTAGTTTGTTGGCTTAGTCGTACGAGCAAGTATATATTTATGAACCCAATATTTCAAGTGGAAAATTCATTAATGGGTTACTTTGACCAAAAAGGAAGATAAGTATGTTAAATTGGTGTTTTGCTTTATATTGGACATGATATTAATAATTCTTAATCAATGGTACGATTTAAAGTTTAATTTTGTATAAGATCGCTTGTCGGCCTTTTCAAAGTGTAGTATCTGTTCTTGTCAACTTAATCTCTGGTACGACTTCCATAAGGATAGTCCAGTAGATTAAACTGATTTTTGGAAAAAAAATTGTACATGTGATCGCTTGAGAATGAAAAGGGAAGGTTGGACGGAAACTCGAAATATTTAAAACCAAACATTTTTGTATTTGAACTATGTTGTTTATGATGATGAGAAGGATACGAGAAAGCAGGGATATACCTAAACACTTTAGCCTTTTTTAGCCTGTAATTTTTCTAGTTTCTTAGTTCATTAGTTCATTTAATAGTTAATTGTCTCGATCCATCTTTTAAGAAGTAGTAGGTCTTCTTGTCTTGCTTAGACGTCATTGCTGCAATTCTTTTTCCCCGGTCTTCTTGGTACCCTAGGTCACGTCCTTCCTTACATTGAGCGGTTGCAATTGGATAATTACATGACATTATTTTTCTATTAGGGAAAATATATTGAAAACCCCCGCTATCATGCCAAGTTATAGGACAGCGTTCTTTTTACTCATATTCATGTACCTGTCGTCCAAACAATAATTACCTTCTTGGCAGAAGATTTTAATGGTTCGCATTGCATAAAAAATTGAATGTTTCATCTCTGATGTATTCCAGCACCATCAACATGTTTGTCGCATTGTGCAGTTCCGTTATATCGGGGCGAGTTGTCGTAAGCCTCAGAAACTTGTTCT